ATATAATTTTATCGACGTGACAGACAAGTCAAAAAAAAATCATTTTTGTAGTTTTTGGAAAAGAAAAGAATATTGCAATATGGCGTTTATGCTATCTTACGGAGTACATTGAGCACAATCCCTACCAAAATTTTAAAGACAAATTTGAAGACGTTTTTGAGAAAATCAAGTTTTTGAAATTTTTTAAAAATTGCACAAATTGCATACAATATTTAGCAAAAACTACCATAATTTTAAAAAAAATGTGTATGTCCTTAATGAAAGAACAAATTATGGACAAAAAACTTTATTGGAAGAAAAAATCTATCTTTAACTTTGTAGTTGAAAGAAGACTCCAAAAAAATTCAAACTTTTGCAATTTTCGAAAATTTAGAGTACACCGTGAAAATTGATCTTATGCCACCTTTCCACGTATTTTACCCTATTCTTACAAGAAATTTAAATGAAAGATTTGGAGCCATTTTCTGGAAAATTTTGAAAATGTCCCAGGGGCTTCATATAAAGTACCCCCAAAAACTAATGAATGATTTTCAAAATCGCAGAGCATCGACTCAGGCCAAATGGACAGGGGTTTTCAGGGGAAAAATCCTACGCATCGTTTAGGCACTAGTTCACATTTACCAGGTGGACGGACAGATGGACAGACGGACGGACAGACGAACGGACAGACGGACGGACAGACGGATAGACGGACAGACGGATAGACGGACAGACGGACAGACGGACAGACGGACAGACGGACAGACGGACGGACAGACGGACGGACAGACGGATGGACAGACCTGACAGACAGACGGACGGACAGACGGACAGACGGATGGATGGACGGATGGACGGACGGACGGACGGATGGACGGACGGACGGATGTTTTGAAAAAAACAACACTTTTTTATTCGTATCGGGTGACTCCAAATCGTGCATTTCAGTTGAAATCTCGGAATCGATTTTCCGCGGCATTACATAACTTTCCCTACTCTATGTATTTAATCTGTTTATACGTACGTACTATATGAGAAAGTAATATACAGTCGACTCTAATTTGCATGATATGGAAAGTAATAATTATTTATTTAACGTCAAAAACAGTTAAAACTGCGTGACGAATATTAAGGTGAACTCTATGACAAAGGCAGGAACGAACATTTTTTATCGGCCTGAAAAGAAATTTGATCCCATGTAATTAAAATAATTTGCAACGGCATTCAGAATGATTATTTGATTTTGAGTAACTTCATTTCTCACTGGGCTCAAGAAAACGTGAACAGAGAGTGAAATGTATGTCTATCTCAAAGTTGATCATTCAATGTTTACTTTATGAGTCAAGGGAAACTGGAGGAAACCCTTGTCGAGATGAGATAAGGACAAGTACAAAGTCTCGTAAGTGCTCTGGAAGTATTCATTTATTGTATATCTAAGAAATTATTCGCGACAGTAGGAAATTATGTAAATTTTGTAATGCACGCGGGAGTGCGTCCCAAATAATGCTCCAGAAACCAGTACAAAGAACACATCAGCATTAACTAAAAGCAATTATTTCTTAATTCATATTAGAAAATGAAGTTAAGAAATATATGAAATAGATTTTATATATCTTTAGATGGATGTTTTGAAGCATTTTGTATTATCTAATTTTAATTTTTGTATTATCTAATTTAAATACTACATACATGATAAAATGTAAATTAACACATTTTGATGGATAATTTGTTATGGTAGAAGTATTTCAAATTCTAGAGGTAACTGATCAAACTCATATCATTTAAATAAAATCATCAAGATATGAGTGACCGCAATTGTTACTATCTAAGATTTTAAATAGTTAACGCAATTTGACGCAAATTATGTCTTCAATGACGGATCCAGAGCGCAGCCAAAGGAAGCCATGTAACTGAATCACAGAAAATGTTTTTTCTAGCAGGACGCACGCTGCACGAACAACAAATAAAATACTCTCGAATAACATTGCAATAAATTAAATATTTTGTGTTCTGTCCACACGACGTATTAGCGGAAGTTATTTACTACAAAGAGAAGCAAGAATTATCCATTTCGACTTTCTCATACTTGCTAACGTATGAAGAAAAATTATTGTAATCGTGCGCCGGAAAACGGCGCATTTTCGATACAAAAACTCTTATTGCCGGGACCTGGTAACGAAAAAATGGATAAATCCAGTTACTAAATATAGCAAAAATTCCTGTAACATGTGGTGTAGCCAGAATCCACATTATATGCATCCTTCATACCGAAAAATCGATTGACGGAAAAATGTATCTGTCTGTCCGTCTGTGCACAACGCTTGTGCATAAACCGCTCAGCTGATTTTATCCAAAACTGATATTACAGAATCGTCCTGGCTGATGTCAGGCCCTTGGAATTTGAAACCGATATTTCAATTTTGAGAGTTACTTTACATGAAGCTCCTCAGACATTTTCAAAAATTTCAAACGATGACTCCAAATTTTTTGATTAAATTGTATTATTGAGTAGTAAGAACGACATTTAGGAGCTTGGTGCAGACCTCATTTTTGTTAAAATCCTTGATTTTGCAAATTATTCAAAATTAAAATATCGATTTCAAATTCCAGGGCCACGATATCAGGCAGAAAAATTAGGGAATATCATATATCATTTTTGGAGAAAATCGGCTGAACGGTTTATGCGCTAGCGTTAATGCATAGACGGACAGACAGACACACGTTTTGCGGTCAATCAATTTTCGGTATCAAGTACGCACAAAACATGGATTCTGACTAAACCACGTGCTAGAGGATTTTTTCCTATATTTAGTGACTGGATGTATCTACTTTTTCGTTACCAGGGCCCGGTAATAAGAGTTTTGTGTCGTAAATTCGCCGTTTTCTGGCGCACGATTACAATACTTTCTCTTCTTACTTTAGTAAGGGCAAGAAAGTAAAAATCAAGGGAATAGTTTTTATTATCTCGAACACATTAATGGTGGAGGTGAGTTAAAATTGCCTCAGACACAAAAATCTTCTTCTTCTCCATTTCAGGGATTAGGCAGAAGTGCCTGTTCCGTCTTCGCTCTGCACATCAGGACCATCTCTTTCTGGGTCGGCCGATATCTCTTCTTCCCTTCGGTTGGTAGTTCATCACTAATTGTGGAATACGATCTTCCTCCATTCTTTCGATATGGCGCCGCCATTGTTTCCTGTTTTCTACGATCCTTTCATTTATGTTGTATATATCTAGTTCTTTACGGATGTCCTCATTTCTTATCTGGTCTTGTTTGATGCAGCCTTTAACTTTCCTAAGAAATCTCATTTCTGCTGCTTGGAGCTTACTTTGGTCTCTTTTTTTCATTATCCACGATTCACTTCCATACAGGAGAACTGGAGCAGCCATTGTCTTATAGAACTTCATTTTTGTGTCTTTCCTTGCTTTGTTCTGTAGTGTTCTGTTTATTATTCCACATATTGATTGAAATTTATTAGTTTTATTTTCTATGTCTTTATCTGTGTCATAACTAATGTCACAACCAAGGTAATTAAAATAGACACAAAAATAATTTCTGGAAATCAATTACCAGCTTAGGTAGCTCAGGGCATCAATTGAGGTCACAGAATTTCCTCTGACCGTTAGGTCCTATTAATAGGATTCGAGTCCCGACTATGGCATGATTTTCAACGCCAACTTCATAGGTAGATCGAATACAGCCGTTGCCTGGAAGACAATTCTTGCGGCCGGCTTCTCTGTTCGGTAGTTTTTCTTGGTTTCTCTGATCAATAACAGGCGAATGCCGGAGCAGTAACCTAACAAACGGGCCACGGCCGGGCGATCTTTATTTTCTCTGCCTTCTCTGTCCTCCCCCCTTACTTACTCACCCCTACACTTAGGGGCCATTCATAAATTATATAACGCAAATTTGGAGTATTTTGAGTTCCCTCTCCCGCACAGTAACGCACCAGCGCTTCAACTCCCACAAAATAATTACGTAACGCTTGAGACCACCCCCAACTACAAGGAATGAAAATAAATTATATTACAGACAAATTGTATTAATTTTATTTGTTTTGTGTATTAAAGTTTATGATAATTAATCAGAATTAATTTGCGATTCTGACTAACTATAAGATTGGAAACAAGTGTTAGTTAAGGAAGGACGCAACAGAAGTTAATATGTCTTACAAGCCGTGCACATGTCGTCGTGAATGTCGCATGAATGACAATAATACTGCATCAATTTCATTGGATTCTAGAGTATACGATAAATTAGTTTTGAAAATTTTCTTCGAAATCTTTACAAATTCAATAAATAATTATGACAAATTTATTTATTGAAGCAAATTATACAATAACTTGAACTTACTTTTTAAAGTAATGAATACGTATTTTAATGTTTGGGTATAAGTCCGAAAAAAGTAATTGTTTCACCAGATGTTCGAAAATTAAATCAATGTTACAAAGTATTAAAGTAACCCTTCACCCCAACCCCAAGGAAAAGAATGTAACATTGCGTCAAACTCCCTCCCCCCCTCTTTAGCGTAACACATGTGGGTGACCAACTGTGTGCTTAGAGCTTGTCCCGGCGGGGGCGGTACCCCACTGAAAAGAGATACCTGGTTAAGGGAAATCCTGCAGGCCGACCTGTAGGTCGGTATCGGATCTCACCATCCAGCGGTGGGAGATCATCGCTACCTTCCGTAATTAAAAATATGCACTACACATTCGGGACATTATCTGTTGACGCGCCCAGAAACACGAAATAATCAACCAATGAAAATCATTTGAATTTCACTCCCTCGTGATTTATAAATCTTCATTGATTGTTCTTGAAAGAGATGAAATTTGTACTAAGTTGTCATCAGAAAATATAACTGAACAATTTTATTCTTATTTCCACATTTATTCCGATTCCCTTACAAGTTATATCCTTAATTACTTAATAATTTCACTTTCTTCATGTTGGGAATATATGTTTTGACTTTCCCTCAGTCGTACAAAGTAAGAGTGACGTCGACGTGCGGCCGTATCGACTGTTGCATGTCACGCTTGTCGAGGTAGCGTAGAAAGTTAACCACTATTGGCTGCTGAGTGAAGCAGGCAGCAGCAGTGGTGGGGAATTGGTTGGGAATTGGGGGGAAGTGAAAACTGGAGTGTTCAAAGGTTGGTCGGTTCACTAGTAACCTGAATTTTGCGATGGCTAATATAAAGTAATGCGATTGCTTTACGTGGAGCCTATGGGCTCTAGGTCATAAAGTGGTCGATCAAACATGGACATATAAGAGACACTACTTGGACACAATTTTACTGATAATGGACAATTTACGGTGAGTTTACTACATGTAGGTTAGTTTTTTACGCCTAGTTTTGACAGGTGACAGATGTACTCGATTACAAGTATTCAAATTTTGTACTTAATGGAAAAAGTAATCACTGTCATGTTTTATTTCTACCCTGTAAAAACGCCAATTATTAAATTCAGTACTTTGGTCGATACGTAGTAGAATGTATTTACAAGTTAATCCACCTCTTACCTTGTAGATTATATATGGTAACGTGGAACGTTGCCACAAGACAACCTGGAGAAGATCTAAATGAATTACTTGGGTTGGTGCAACAAACAGTTCCTGAAAAGTTACCTGACTTTTACATTATTGGGTATGTTTATTATTGTCTTCCCTTGAATTACAAAGGAATAGTGCTTGAAGGTTTCTTGATAAACTTATTTATTATTTAATAATTTTTGTTAAGCCTGCAAGAGGTAAAAGCTCAGCCACAAAACATTGTTTTGGATGCAGTATTTGACAGTTCGTGGACCAGTGCATTCAGGTATCTTTTATTTTATTCATCTTTTTTCTGTGTTCTTTACTTGATAATATTCTAAAACAACATTAATTTAATCTCAGGGAAGTATTGGCAGCTCAAAACTATGTGAAAGTGAAGACTATACGTTTGCAAGGATTGTTGTTAAGTCTATTTTGTTTGCGTAAACACTTATTACATTTAAGAGATGTGGAAACTCAATATACAAAAACTGGTTTTGGTGGCATGTGGGTAAGTGGTTATCTTGTACAGTTGATATTGCGAAGTGGGCTAAATATTAATATTTGCATTGTCTTTTAATTGTCTTCTTCTTTAATAAGTTTTTTTTTTCTTCTCAGGGCAACAAAGGTGCTGTAAGTATCCGTTTAAGTATATATGGTTGCTCAGTATGCTTTGTCAATTGCCACTTGACACCTCATGATGGACTGTACCAAGAAAGAATTACCGATTACAATACAATTATTCGTAATCATGCCTATCAGAACAAAGAAACATCTAACATTCTTTTTCACGAGTATGTTTGTTTGCTTTAACTGTACATTCATAACACTTGTTCACAAAAACATCTAATCATTTCGTATGATATCAAGTAAATGCTAAAATTTTAATTGTTTCAGTTATGTGTTTTGGATTGGTGATTTGAATTTTCGTCTTATGGATAGCTACAGTGCAGAGGAGATCAATAATTTGATAAAGAAAGGGGAATTGACAAGACTTTTGGAGAAGGATCAACTTCGTTATGCTATGGACAGGGGTGAAGCTTTCAGTGAACTTTCCGAAGAAACACCAAACTTTCCTCCAACCTATAAATTTCAATTTAATTCTTCATTATATGATTTGAAGTAAGTCTAATTCTTTGTACTTTGTATTTTATTGTTTGGAAAGTGAGATTAACATTTTGTGTAATTGAACTTTGTTTCTAGGCGACGTCCATCATGGACTGATCGTGTCCTTTACAAAGTTAATGCTCATGTCTATGAGAATTTAACTTTGCGTGCTGAACAATTATTCTATAAAAGTTTCGACAGTTATGTGCTTAGTGATCATAAACCTGTTGTAGCAGAGTTCAATATCAAGGTCAGTTAACATTAATTTATGTGAAGTAGTTGAGTGATAAAACAAACGTTAATGAATTTATAGAGGTAGCTCTTTATAGACATGTTCATATAATTTCCAGGTTTTCAGTGACTATTACGATCGTGTTGTTGAATTTGAACCTGTTAATACATGGTATCTTGAAGAAGAAAATTCAGCATCATATTCATTAGCTGGTGATGTTGAGCCCACTTACTGGGATTGGATAGGAATATATAAGGTAAAGTCTTGTTGAAAATAGTGGAATGTGATGTTCATTTTGATGTTATTTAATGAGTGAAAATACTAAAAATTTCAGTGAACATTTTGATAAGTTTTTTAAAACTACAATACCTTTTTTTCGTACAGGATGGTTTCACTAGTTTGGATGACTATCTCAGCTATGTTTATGCACCACGCGCAACACCAGGCACAGCCAATAGATCTGAAACCAGACGAGTCACCTTTCCAGATACAGCTCTGCGAGCTCCTGGTAGATACTGTCTGTTGTATTTCAGTCACAACTCGGGAAGTGTGTTGGGAATGAGCAACCCATTCGATGTGCTGTGCAGGGATAACGGGCAGATCACCCATTTCAGGTTTGGTGAAACTATCCAGTAATGAGGCCTTTTATGTATATTTAGTAATATTATTTTTATGATGGGTTACAATCTCTAATCGAGTTGACTTCAATGAACACAAAATAGAGCGATTGTAATTTTTGTAGGTGTTATATAATGTCTATAGAGGCATGCATTAATGTATTATACTTAAAGACTCTAGTCAATTCTTTTGCCATTTGTTGAAAATTGTATAAAATTTAAGTTAGGTAAGTCAACTCAGCAGTACATTTAAAATGTTTGTGAACCAGAAACTTTTTGTTTATCTGTAGGGTATTACATCATAAATTATTTGACATTGTTAATCACAAACACAAGTGCTATGTATTTTACTAACTGAGGTATGACTTTGATCTCATTTAGACGTGTCTCAGGTTAATGGTGTGCTTTTAAAAATGTGTGATTGTATTTTCTGTGTAATATTTTTTATTTTATTGAGGAAAACATTCCTTCCAATTTTTTAAAGTATCTTAGTGATAAAATGTTGTTTTTTTTAGGATAAGTCTGAATGCTGAATTTGAAACTAATAGACATTTAAGTCCAAATTTCATTAATGAAATTTCAAAGAAAGAATAGAAATGTCTCTAGTGAGAAAGTGTTTTGAAACTTTCTAGGTTTTTTAAAAGACTTTTAGTTACAATAAATTGCTTGAGACAGTGTATTACCAAAAATATGCCTTATCAATTTTGTTTTAAAAAAAAAACGTTTAGTGTAGTTATTTATATAATTTGAATTTGTTGAAAATTGCTAATATATTAACTCACATATTCTAAGAATTCAAAATAAGTATAAGTTGATTTTCTGTATTTGTTGAAAAGTCATGCTTTGATATTTCCATTCAAGCAGTCTATGGAGTTTTTGTTTTTGAAGCAGTTTTGTTGTTATAAAACGATCATTCATTTCCATAAATATTCTCCAATTAAAATAAGTGTGATTGACTTGTGCACAAAACAACCAGTCGCAATTATCCGATGGTAAACTTCACACCAGGGGAATCTGGGGAATTGTAGATAATCCAAGTATTTTGAATTAACTTAAAATACATGCTATAACTTCGAAAAGGTAGATGAATTTCCCCAATTTTACTTAAAAAATCGAAAGCTGAGACAAAAATTCATTCTTGTTAACTAAGCTTTGAGGACCAACAAAATGTCTCCAGTGAGACCCACAACTGAGTTCAGGCAGGGGCAGAGGTCCTATGGCACATGCGCTGTTAGCGCCTATATGCAGGTAATTTGGCATGGGATGAGAGATGGTTAGCTCAATTAATCCTAGTACAAACAGCATTTGCTTTGTTCAAACATATGATGTGAATTATCAGTCTTCTTATTTTAATTTATACAAAATAAATTTAAAATTTCTTGTTACAGTGGAATGTTCAGGAACTGAGTATAACTCTTGTTTAGATTAGATAATTTACTTTTGTAGGGTGGCTTACAAACCTGGAAAACATAGGGAAATCATCTATATAGGTGGAACCTGTCTTTTTTCACACTTCACTTTCTCGATTTGTTGGACACCCAGCTTTCAATCCGTTTTTTCTTTGGTATAGGGAAATCAAACTTCAGAAATTATAAGAGGAAATTGCTGGTTGAAAATGAGCATTCATCTCGTACCATGGTGGAAGAAAAGATTAATGAACTGACATGACACAGCAAATAGTAGTAGGATAAAGAATTTTTTTTTAAAAAATGCCATGGGTAGTTATTAGCAAAATTATATAAGGTATGTTTGTAAACAGCATGGCAGCAATAATTACTACTTATGAGGTGGAAAATTATGTATTTGCATAATTCGTCTCGGGTTGGTTGGTTGGTTTGTTTGTTGTCTGCCAGTCTAGTAAATCAAGTTAGTGGTTAACAGGAGTCGTTGCACGCATCATCTGTGCAATTTCCTTAGACAGAAGGGGCAACCCACTCAATCAGCCACTTCACGAGTTGTTACACCAAAGGTAATGGTAATTGGTTACAATTTCAGGGGTGGGATAGTACCTGTAAGGAATAGTAATGAAAAAATATATTTTTTGTACTAAATTTTACTAATATTTTAATAATATAAAACAGTTGGTAAAAACCTCTTTAATTACCACATTCATATTCCAATCTTAACATCACTTTACTGATTATCTGGGTAATATTCAAATACAGAGATACAAACTATTAGGGATTATCCCTAATTATTACAGAACTTACTTTCTTCAAATTGCCCAGAGATAAAACTATATTGGTGTAATAAGATAACCAGGTAAGTTTGTAAAATTATATTGTGCCTGACTAAGATTGTAACACACCCAAGCAATATTATAGATAAAACATTGTGAACAATGATTGTGATAGAAAAGACAATTTCTTTCATTGAATTGTAACTGTCTAACACCATCCACTTAAATTATCACTACAAAATGAAAGTTGTTTCTTTAGAGTTCAGTTTTCCAAAACCTTTATGCTTGGTTGTTTTTTAAGTAAATAGCATTTGCTATTTAAAAATATTTTGTTGTAATACATTTTTGATAAACTTAACATGGTTGCAAATTTTAAGAAAATGTCATATTGAAAAGTATACTCTTGAAAAATTTTTAATCAATTCCTATTGCTCTTGTATCTAAATGAACATTTTTCCATTAGTAGAAAATTGGGATTTAAATCTTAGTAAGATCTTTTGATGAGGGGGAGGGGGTTCCAATTTGAAAAAGTTACTAGTTACATACTTCCTCCTGACATGTTTTTTACTCTCAGTAATCTTGAGAGTTATCTTGTAGAAATTAATATTTTGAAATATTATTATTGGATTATGATAACAGACTTTTACAAAATGAGACAAAATTAAAAATTAATGATTGAAAGGCATTCCTGAGACAACTAAGAAGTACTGGAATGCTAGGATTTTGCGCACAAGAAAAAAAAATCGCAAGGCAATGCAGTGTACACTGCCCTCCAAGAAATCATTCCAAGTAACCTAACATGCCTGGAGTGTTGGTACAGAATCACTCCAAAGCCTTGATAATATTTGACCTAAATAATATCGAATAGTTTGTTATTATATAAAAATTATTATATATTAATACAATTAGAGTAGTGTAGCAGTGCACTGGATTTTCACTGGGAATTTAATTTTTACTTGCATATGGTGGTAATGCAGGGACTCCCTCTGAAACCTCCAAATTCTCTCCTGTGATATGCTCCATCTTTTGTACTTAAAAGTCAAATTTCTCTAAGTGTTTGTGTGGGATTTGGGAAGAGTCTATTATAAGTAACGTCAGCCAACACTAGTTCAGGTGTACGTTAAAATGAAAACATTTAAAGTAACTGTTTGATAACCTAATGTATACTTGAATCATTGTAAGTATTGTAATGTATATTTCAATATTGCTAGCGTATTGATTAATCAGGTGTGTAAACACTATTGTCTAAGTACGTCTTCTGTCCCAGCATTGACACTGGATCTCACATTTTTAATGTTAATTTTTATTTCAAATCTGGAGTCAGAAACCAAAATTGCTATGCAAAATATTTTTACTAGTTACTAGTTCTTTGTTCATAAAATGTGATTTGGTCATGTTTTGGTCACATAAAACAGTGACATTTTATTAGTTTAATCACTTACTTTATTAAATTCATTGAACATTTTTAGCAGTGTTTTATGAAAGAAATTGTTTTTGAAGTTGGAATAAGAAATTGTGGAATTATTTATAATAAAATATTTAAATAGAAATATTTTTAAAATTTAGAAGCAAAAAATTAAAAAGTTTAACTGGATAAACTGCGAAATTATTTTTTCATTGTATGGAAAAACTGGAGAGAATTTTGATTTGAAAACAAGTGAAACATATTTATTTTAGGTTTGAATTATTATTCAAAATGTTTTGCTTAATTTTTTTAAGCCCTTTTTACAATCTTATTTGACTGTGTAGTTTCTTGTGAGTGAAATTGGAGAATCATTTCAGATGTCAATCAGGCTGAGCTAACAATTACAAATAAATATCGTTAATGGGATGTTGTTAATAATATTAAGTGTTTATTGATCTTTGTTGCTCTTATATAGAAATACTGTTTTGATTTTCATACAGTTTCTAGTTTCTATTTTTTATAGTTGATGCCTATTGAGTATAATACTGTTCTTGCCGTGGTTATTTGAAATTTAGGGAGATTATGGAGCCCATTGAACTCTTTAGGGATCATGTACAAAATTATTTGTTAATCATTAATTGAGTTTCGGTTTCGCTATGTACATTATTTATAAACTAGCTTTGCAAGAATCTGTGAAACGTTCATTTGTAAATTATAATTTGTCAGCATTATGAAGTTAGACATTTTTTCTAATTGCGCATTAGAGTGTGTTTATTATGTGCTGGCTGGAGGTAAGTGGTAGAAAAAAGTCGTACGTAATTTTGGAGAACTGAAAATTTAACCTGATATTCTTGATATATGGAGTCTGTTGTTTTGTGTATAATCCTGAACAGAAACATGACTTGAGCTCTCTGCCTTGTGTTAAATAATGAATTAATGCTATGTTTTTTGTATACATATCTACATCATGCATATTTTCAGATTTATTCCTGAATTTTTAATTCTAGACTTTTGGAAAAGCTATATCTTTTCTATATTGACTTGCTCAGGCCTACTCAATTAGGGTGGTTGTTATTTTGGCGAACCAAAAATTACTTTTATCTCTCCCTTTCATTATAGTATTTAAAATTGGAAAAGAACAGGAATTTTCAAAGGAATCAAATGATATTAAACTTTGCAATTGAATTTTTTTGTAGTACTTTTGAACTTGAGTATTGAGTACTTTTTGAATTCTTATTTTTTAAAAAGATATCTAGGTAATTGTGTACGAGTGCATTAAACCTGCCATTACTTGCACTGTTAGAAAAATCTAACACTTCTGGATTTATTTAAATATCATTGACATATTTCAACACAAGTAGATAACACTTCACCAAAGCCTTCCTGCACGATTCAACTCTGCATCCGTTCATCATTCTCATCAGTTCTGTGATGGGAAACAATATGAGAAGGTGCTGATTAATGCGGTGTGTTTTTGTAGATATTTTCTCATGTGTGGGACATTGCTTTGTATTTAGATACGATTATCTCATCCACTCTTCTCACAGTTATTCACACTCTTTTCTATCTTGAATACTTGCGTGAAGATCAGAAAAGTTTTCTATCTCGTCTTTTTTTTATATATATATATATCTTAAATCAAAGGTAAGATTCATAGATTTTGCGAGAATATCGTCTGCCATCACTTCACTGTAATTTCTATTACTTAGTTTTTTCTTTTTAGTGTAAAAAGTGATGTTAAGAGTAACCAAGAGAAAGAAAAAAAATGCGCGTCTGGTCCAAAGAAGCAAACCAGGTTCACGCAGCATTGTTATAATATATACTTGAAATCCTTCTGAAAAGAACACCCAAGAAAGCCTTTTTGTTTGCAGTGAAAGCAATTCTGAGGAAGCTTATTTTAGTTCATAAATGTCCTTATATGATTCAATGTGGTGAAGTTATATTGTTTATTGCATTCATTGCATTCTAATATTTGCATTTCTTAAATAAAATTGCTTTACATAATACTTCACTTTATGATTGTGATTTTGATTAGTGTGTTTATTATAAACAAAAATTATGCATTACTACGTCTTTATAAGTTGTAGAACTCTATAACAAATATATATAGGATTATTAATGTACAAATTTGA